TTTTTAATATCCTCCTCCTTTTTTTCTCTAATAGATGCCTGCTGTAGGTACGCTGCAGCTCCTCAAACATTGAACAAAATAAAACAAGTAAAAGCATTTTTGTTTTCAAATTACTTTCCAAATTTAGAAATCATTTTCCTTCATTTAAGTAGTGTGAGAGCGCAACGATGCTCTAAATGTGTTGGCATAGCAACGTGATACTTCCGGTTTCCTTTTCCGCCTGTCCTACGAAGGCCGTCTCGTTTAATTCTAGGTTGAGGACACTTCGTATATGCATCCTACAGAGGATGCGACCTCCGGAGGGTGCAGCCTTCTAAATGAGACACAGCTACAGTCATAAAGTTTTGGAACGACATCGGAGAGAGTAAACGATCACAATTTCCATTTTTGGGTGAACTATCATTTACTGTGTCCCTAAACCACAAAACTCATAATTCATAAAAAAAAGCACAAAGATGACTTCATATTAGTCGGGTAGGACCAGCAGGAAACCATGGAACCTCGGTGCAAAATGTTAAGCGATCAGAGATGCCCCTGTCGCCTTAAAATGAGAGTCAAAATTCAGCTCTGTAACATTTGATCAAACCACCAAATGTTTTCCATATGCATTCTGCATATTTGTTTTTATTTGACTGAAACCGTCCCAGACCGTCTCTCAGCCTTGTTTGAACTAGAGTGAAGTTGTGTCTCAGTTCTAATTAATCCCATACAGAAAAATGACACAAAGATGTGTTTATTTTAACTCTTGTACTACCAAATTGAAGCAACTTTTCAGTCTGTACACCCAGTTCATGTTCAATCATATTCTGGACGGGTCTTGGTTTATAAACATAAAACAACAAAATCTAAGGTCTGGCGCTTTCCTAAAATGTGATTAGACACAGGTGAATGGGTTGCTCTGTGATTTTGGATCTGGATTATGGATTTGGGATTATATTTTTCTGAGCTAAATTACTTAAATCAAAAAATTATATGACAGACAGTTTTTGGAGAGTATTAAAAGCTCAGGATATTAATAACTGAGAAGAAATTAGGACAACAGGGGACACTTTTGTTAAATGTTACGACACAAGCTGGACATATCTCTCACTCACATTCGCACTACGTTCTTCACGTCGAAGTTCTCAAGAGGAGCCACATCGGGGTCATGACCCTTGTCGTTCTGTAGGACAATCTGCTGGACAATTCGATCGAGGAGGAGCCAGTACTGCACAGTATTTCCATTTCTTTTGTCTGAGCAAAGAGCAAAGATGATGGTCAACACTTCCAAGCAAACAACACAACGTTCACTATAATGATTGATATAATGCATATATATATATATATATATATCTCTCATGCTCACCAATCTGCATTTATTTGATAAAAAATACAGTAAAAATTGCAATATTGTAAAATATTATTACAATATAAAATATTATATAATATAATACTGTCTTCTATTTTATTATATTTTAAAATGTAATTTAAAATATACTATGGTAAACCTGAATTTTCAGCATTATCACTCAAGTCTTCAGTGTCACATATTCCTTCACAAATCATTATAATATGATTTCTTATTTTTATCAATGCTGAAAACAGTTCTGCTGCTTAATATATTTGTGGAAACAATTTTTTTTCAAGATTCATTGATAAACAAAGTTTAAAAGAACTGCATTTATTTGAAATATAAATATTTTGTATAAATGTCTTTACTGTTATCAATTTTATGGATTCTTTCTGAATAATAAATAACAAATTTATTTTAAAAAATATTTAAAATATATATATAACTTACAGACCACAAACTTTCAAATGGTAAAGTACAATTTAATGCGGACTAAAATTCACTTTTAAAAATGATTTTTCACTAAAATGGTATTTGTTAAAAAAAAAAATAATAAATGGTATTAACATGGTACAACAGGAGAAAAACCTTGTATATGTCCAAAACACATGGTATTACTGTAGTGCCATGTTCAAAACTATATACCATGGTATTATTTTGTATTCTTTAGTGGCACTAGTTACAGTATGATGAGGTAATATTATGATGTCTGTTTGTTCAAACAGTTATGGAGGGGTCAGGGGAAGTGTCATCACTCACAAGGCATATGAAGACAGTGCTGTAAGACGGACATAAAGTGTGGGAAGGCGTCTGTGTGGTTTATCCTCTTCCGGATGAGATCAAACACCTGAGTAGCACTTTTAGTGTCTATATGAACCTGAACCAAGCAAATAGACAATGAAATTACTATTGAAAAAAAGCACCTGTGTATTTAGAGGCAAATTAAGACAGCAAGTGTACATTTTCAAACCGCTTAGCGAGGGCTAATTCATCTTCATTTCGTAGCATCTCAAAGAAGTCCAAATGCCTGAAGAGTAATAAAAGATGACTGCATGTTAAGCTCAACACAACCCGGCCAAGTACTTGAGGATGATGCGTCTCAAAATACAGCACTTACCGATCTAACGTGGAGTTTTCATGGGACCGTAATTTATCAATCACTGGTTGGATGCCCAGCATTAGAAATTCATACCGCAAATGAATTCTGAACTCCAAACTGGTCTGTAAATGAAACGTTGGAAGTCATGGAGAAACTCTTTCGGATGATTTGAATCTAATGAGATGCAGATGTAGAGAAAGTAGAGCTTACCTCCCCTGCTCCTTGACTGAGGACCGCGTTGATGAAGGACATGATTGCCGTCTTGAGGTTCACCTCATCTCTGTAGCGGCCCGTACTCTTGTCCAAGTCATTTAGAAGGGTCTGTGTGAAACCCGAGAAGATGGGGAGAAAGAATGAGAACAAGAAAGGAGAAAGACCTCTTAATATTTCATTCATAAGTCTCAATGGCCTTATTTGTGAAATAAAAGCAGAACGAATTTCTGTGTAAATCGTTGCATTCAATTCAAAGGAACAATTTATGAACAACTGGTTTTATGAATGATTTATGTTTAAAGAATGAGACCCAATGTGGCCCAGTGAGGGAAACCATCAAGTCTTGAATTTTCCGCCCACCTGAAATCGCGTACGTTCGCAGGCGAACTTCTGATAGTGCAACATGGCTTCCAGGATTTTCTTGTGTCCTCCAGGCACCAAGCAAACAGCACCCATGATCTCCAGAACAGCCACTTTGGTCTTGATGTTCTCGGTGGCCAAGCTCTGAGCGATGATGTTGATGGTTTCTGAATGAGCGAGCACATGGGCACGTCCCTGAGAGTTGTTCATCAGGGCTTTAATGCAGCCGATCAGTGAGGTGTGGATCTGAGATTCGGTGGTCTCGTAGTCCATCGTTTTCAGGAAGTTCAAGACGCACGTCAGTCCATCGAGGTCTATGAAGCGTGTCACAAACCTTGAGGAGCACCAGAGAGGTCAGGCCAAGCAGATGAAAAGACATTTCTACTAGGGTAGGAGGACACATGGAAAATGTAAACTTAATATCCTGAATTTTAAGTGCATTTTCTGTGGTAGCCTCAAAAACGGTTGCACGAGAAAAGTTGCTCAGGCCTTTACCACCATGATGGAGAGCCAAGCAAAATTAAGTCGCTGGTAAATGGTTCCTGGGAGACAGCAATACAAATTTGTCATCATTTTTGCAGATGTCACAGTGCCTTTAAATTCACATATGATATTTTACAAATAATTAATTAAATATGTTAGGGTTAGTTAATATACTCATAATAATTTATAATAAACTGATATAAATAATAATAATAATAATAATAATAATAGTATTAAATATGCACAAAAGCAGCCCAAAATAATCCTTTGTACATAATATTTTCAATAATTTAAAGCATTTAAATGTAAAATGTCTGTTTTACTATTAAAATGACAAATATTTCACATTTGTGTACATATTTGTATATACTATGATGAAAAATAATGGCACAAGGAAAACAATTTTAAATAATCCTGAAATTGTTTTTTTTCTTAAAGCAAAATATATTTTTCTATTTCTTTTGTTATTCACAAAAGCAGCCCAAAATAATCCTTTGTACATAATATTTTCAATAATTTAAAGCATTTAAATGTAAAATGTCTGTTTTACTATTAAAATGACAAATATTTCACATTTGTGTACATATTTGTATATACTATGATGAAAAATAATGGCACAAGGAAAACAATTTTAAATAATCCTGAAATTGTTTTTTTTCTTAAAGCAAAATATATTTTTCTATTTCTTTTGTTATTGATTTTGAGATGCACTCATTATTATGAGTGAAGACTTCACTAAAAAGAGTAAAACTGAATCACTCAAAACAGGAATTGAGCAGTAGATCTAACACTCTGCAAAGACAAATTACTGTATGCACTTGTATTTTAATGAAGCACTTCGTGAAAGAGAGACGCTCCATTTGCACACAGCCATGTGTAAGGCAATGTGCTTAGAGTAATTAAAAAGAATTATACTGTCATGGAATGACCCCTTGTGTGTGTGTGTGTGTGTGTGTGTTAAAGGCAGTACCTCATGGGCTGTGTACGGAGAGCAGTTTTCAAGCTCTCTATGGTCTTACTCCTCTCCTCCTCATCCTCCTTCTCCAGGGTCAGCAGGGACTTCCTCTGAAGGTAATATTTAACGTAGAGGTAAATAATTAATGGACTGACCAAAGTTTGCCAGGTTTGCCAGTTTGGTTAAAGTATGTAATTGCATTTAAACTGGGAAAAAAAATCACCACTAGTTTTAATACAAAAAGTGCTAAATACAAATACACAAGAGTGCTATAACATGTGAATGAATTTATAGCTTCACCAATTATCTGAGCATCAGTGCTCTTTGTCCTATGAAATATTTATAGTTGTTTACCACTCAATAAACACCTACATCCCCAACAACTTCCTCAAGGGCAACATATGTGAGTTTAATGACTCTCGCTTGACTAAGATAATTTTTTGTCCTCAGGGCAAAGACGGAAATGAGTGTGGTCAGGGAAGTGTTCATTATTTGCTGTCTAGTTCGTTAGTCATACTTACAGCAGCCATAGAATTTATCTGATCGATGTAGAATTCAGGCCAGCTGGTCGCCCCTTTATTCTCTTCCTGATCCTATGGAAAAACTAAAGATTAGCCTGGATGCTGAAATCATATAAACACACATTTACGATAGATAGATAGATAGATAGATAGATAGATATAGATAGATAGATAGATAGATAGATAGATAGATAGATAGATAGATAGATAGATGTGAGTGGATGATAAAGAGGAGGAATTCAAAAATAAGAAGGGTTTACCAAAGATTATGAAGATAAATATTTTTTTATTAGAATAACATAGGCTGATGAATTATTTACAACAGAAATGTAAATAGGGTGAATTCTGATTTGAAACTGAAGCGTCTGACACACAAACGTCACTGTACTGTCCTCCACACCAACACAGATCTTTTTGTACTGCCAGGTTCTCAAGCACTTCCACAGCCACAATGTGTGAGAACATAGCTTATCTAACCATTGCGATTCGCACAAAATCGCATCCAACAATCCAAAGGTGCTTGTGAATGGATATATTTTATGTGTGCGAGTGTCCACAGCTGACACCTTGTTTAAAATGCTTCTTGTTACCTGAAAACAGACAAGACACTGAGCTCCAGCACTACTCCACTCCTAATATTGAGTTAAATGCTCTGGCAGAAGGTTAAAAGGCTACAATTCGGTCCAAAACATGCCTTTTCCCAGAGTAACTGTTTCTTTAAAGCTTTTGATACAAAGCCTGGGGTTGGGAAACAATACCACAGTGTTTTGTGCTATGCTCAAGTGTCTATAACATAGCAGCTGCTTGCTCTTTCAGGCTAAGATTGACTTGTGCTGGCCAGGGTAAGTTTGGAATTGGGAATTGGGGTTGTTTTGGGGGGTTTCGCGCACCACATGAGCCGATAAGCTTCCAGGAATCTTATTTAACAAGTCCACTCATTGTTTTCTAACCACATTCTGCAATTATACAACTTAACTAAACTATTTTGGACCATAGGGGTTTAGAGATTAATAAAAATATAGTTTGAAACCAAAATGAAGGGTGAGAAAGATCTCATTATACTTATTATGAACACAAATACTTCATACCAGACATTCACATGTACTTTGGCCTCAACATCTTGACAGTAGCTTTAGCACTCATTATATTGCACAGTGTTGGTTCCACATGTTGCTCAGACCCCAAAACTCCACTGGGAGGAGATTTGATTCAGACCTTGCAGGTGTAGTTGGCTGACATGCTGCATTCAGTGTTTTATTGAGCTGGGATAATGCAGCATACAGGTTTTTCTGAAATAGGTTGGTTGTAAAATGAAGTAAAATAAAAATAATAAAATAAAATACAGTGAAAGTTATGGAAGCTTGTTTCTACCATGGAATAAAAAATAAAAAAAGGTAATTGCAACTTTTTAATTGCACAAATCAGACTTTCTTTCTGGCAAAATTTTTTGCGAGTTTACATTTTATAAAATTGCGACTTTTCTTCTAAGAATTGTGAGTTCATATCACAATTTAAAGTAATAAACTTAAAGTTATAAACTTGAGTTAACATCTTGAAATTCTGACATTTATTTATTTGAATTGTTTGTTTATATCTCGCAATTTCGAATTATACAATCACAATTGTGTTAACATCTCTCAATTGTGACAATTTTTCTCAGAATTGCAACTTTGTATCTCACAATTTCAATTTATAAACTCACAACTGCAAGAAATAAAGTCAGAATTGTGAGATGTAAACTCAAAATTGTGAGATAAACTCACAATTCTGAGAAATAAAGTTTGAAATGAGAGATAAAGACTTGGAATTGTGAGTAAAAAGTCAAAATTGTGAGAAAGTCAGAATTGCGAGTTTATATCTCGCAATTTGGATGTTTTTTCTCAGAACAGCAAGATATAAACTCACAATTGGGAGATATAAAAATCACAATTCTGAGAAGAAAATTCTGAATTTTGAGAAATAAACTCACAATTGTGAGAAAAAAGTCAGAATTCTGAAATAAGTCACAAACCTTTTAAAAAAAATTTTATCCTGTGGTGGAAACTAGCTTCCATAGAAGTAGATAAAACTGAGTAAAACATTTTTTGTTTTTTTACTATTTATTTGTTGCATTAAATATATATATATACAAGACGAGACAAAACTAACATGACTTCAAGTATTTTTTTTCTGGGGAACACAAAAGAACACATTTTGAAATCTAAACCCCACTGATTTTCACTGTATGACTAAAAATACTAGAGCCCGACCGATATGGGTTTTTTGGGGCCGATACCGATACCGATATTAGGGCGTAAAAGAAAGGCCGATACCGATATATCGGCCGATATTCTTTGTGTATATTATAGTACAGTACCAGTCAAAAGTTTGGACACTTTCCCATTCATGTGTTCAAACATTTGACTGGTAGTATATATAGAATACAGTATATACATAAACAGAAAATATATACATAAACACATTTTTTGCAATGATCACTCAAATGTGGTGATCAAACACTTATAATGGTGACAGAGATATGTAAGGGCATTTAACAATTTAACAATAAACTTGCCATGAGTGCGATGCACAAAGTAACGGGGTGTTAGTTGTAACACACGTGGTTTGAATATTTATTTTACCATAGTAACATTTAAATTCTGGGTTGAGTAAATTTTTTATCTCAGTTGAGACGTACACTCGATGCGCGTTCGAGAGGGTTCCTTGAGCTGAAGAGATCCCCCGAATTTGGTGCGGAATCGCCGCACCGTTACGGAGATATGGCCGTTCAAAGTTTCGATGGTTTTCCATTGACTTAAGCTTTAAAGCGTTTCATCCAGGTCGCCAGTAGCAAACAATGGAGCGCGCTTTGCTGGACAAACTAAGTAATTACACCATTTCAAGCATTTTATCTGCATTATATGTTCTGTAAAAAAAAAATTCATATCGGCCGATATATCAGTATCGGCGACAGCCTCATATCGGCCGAAAATATTGGCAAAACGATATATCGGTCGGGCTCTAAAAAATACTATTTATTTTTTTAATATCTTCTTTTGTGTTCCATGAAAGAACCAAAGTCATACATGTTTGGAGGGACATGAGGGTATGTTATTTTTTTTAGCTGAACTAACCTCCTTTAGCCAGAAATAAGATATAAAAATTTTAACTGAAATTCCATCTCTACCAGTGTATAAGCTTACAAAGCCTTGATCCATCATACAGAACATCAACATAAATGTTTGCTTTAATATATGAATGAGAATAAACTTCATTCCTAACATCATAATGATTGACAGTATTATTTTTTAAGTGTTTTACAGGACAATAGGTCAGCAGCTGAAGAGCGCTCCGATATATCAGTATCGGCGACAGGCTCATATCGGCCGAAAATATTGGCAAAACGATATATCGGTCGGGCTCTAAAAAATACTATTTATTTTTTTAATATCTTCTTTTGTGTTCCATGAAAGAACCAAAGTCATACATGTTTGGAGGGACATGAGGGTATGTTATTTTTTTTTAGCTGAACTATCCTCCTTTAGCCAGAAATAAGATATAAAAATTTTAACTGAAATTCCATGTCTACCAGTGTATAAGCTTACAAAGCCTTGATCCATCATACAGAACATCAACATAAATGTTTGCTTTAATATATGAATGAGAATAAACTTCATTCCTAACATCATAATGATTGACAGTATTATATTTTAAGTGTTTTACAGGACAATAGGTCAGCAGCTGAAGAGCGCTCCCCTGGTGGGTCGTGACCAGGTAACTGGTCATGCACTCCAGCAGCTGCAGAGAAACCCCAAACCACTGCTGTGTGGTTTGCTCTTTAGTTCCACTGGTGTAAAGGGCTCCTATAAATGAGGGTTTACAGAGTGTGTCAGGGCAGCCTGGGTTCTGTTACCTCTCACTCCTCAGACCCATATCACACATACTGTGAAAATAAACCCTTGCACTCAACACCACTTCTCAGTCCCAAAGCCAAGCCTGTGCTAGAGCAGCAGCGTTTATATTAGGTCCTTTTTAGGATGTACAGTACGACTGAGATGTCTTCATACATTTAGCTGTTCAGTTTCATACTCTACAGTCAAGCCAGATGAAATGTATCCGCAGGAAACAGAGTTGTTTTAGGAAACTGCTATGTGTGGTCAATGCCAAGCTATACGTTCAGGTCTTTCAGAAAATGCAAAAGGCATATGTGACGGGAGTCCCTGCCTAGTACTTCTTCCAGTGCCAATTTCTTACCTTTTTCTTGCTACAGTAGATTTGCCATTTCTTCTCGGCAGGAAGGGCAAACATGGCCTCTCTATGTTTTTCTGTGAGATCCAGCTCATCCTGTGGGAGAAAGAGATGAGAGGTTTTAAAATAATGTATACTTTGTCATTTCAAATACAATGGACTTTCACCTTTTAAAAACTTTTTTTTTTGTCACATTCTAATACCGTTAAATGCCTAAAATTTACACTTTAGGTTGCTTATTTCTAATATAATATAATATAATACTGAATATGTATTATATTTATGCAAATAAAAAATATTAGGTATTAAATAAATACATAAAATAAATAAATAATAAATTTTTTGTAAAGACAGACAGATATAGACAAAAAAATAAATAAGGAATGTAAAATGTGAATGAATTAATGAATGAATGCATGAATGAATGAATGCATGAATGAAAAACAAACAACAAAATGATATTTGATTTGGCAGTGACACAAACACAGGCTTCCTATCCAGTCAGCAATAAGGCCTGACAAAACCAACATGACTTAAATTCTGACATCAGCCTCTGGATATCACTGACCATCAAGCGGGGGTTAATTTCCCACAATTCTGTGTGAGATAGAGAGTCCTTGTTTCTTCATGGCAAACAAAAGATTTAGTCATGTAAACCATCAATAAATGCCTGTACACTCCTGTGACCTCCGTGCATTCCCATGATGCAGTTCTGGCCTGAGTTCGTCATATTCAGTCCAGATGTTCAGGCACAAGTTAATTAACATCATGTGAGAGACACATACAACGAGCAGGTCCCGAGACCACTTTAACAGGCTGCATAAGGAAATAATGAGGATAAAAAGAATGAGAAATACAGGGAAATCGTATAATCCAACTCGTAAGTACTCATGTATATTTGAGCAGAGATTCCAGAGAGACAAAATCACATCCAGACACCACATCTATTGCAGAAGCAGGCAGGTCAAAATCTGATCTTGTCCAGACTGTTCTCTTATACTTTCTCCCTCTTTATGTCTCTGCAGGAAAAACCTGAACCTGAGATTTTGTTCTGCCATCCCTCACACTCACTAAAAGCCATTTAGATAGAATCAGCTATCTTTCAACTTCATGAGGAGGACTGCTTTCTCACCTCAAATCGACACATAATCAAAAGCCTGCTAGAAGCATTTTCCTGTTAAATCAAGTCAACATGACCCTGATTGATGCCTCAGTTGTGGCTCACTGTGAATCCTCAAAGACTCAGCAGGGGACAGGCTGCATATGGGACGGAGTCTGGCGCATGCAAGTCATCCATGAGCCCATCTGTGCCAAATGCCTGCTGGTCACGCGCTGGTGGGCATGAGACATACAGACGTTCTCTTACTCAATGGAGTCTGCAGAGCTAATGAGGGAACATGCATTGTCTAACACTCTTTACTGGACCATTAGCAGAGAATGCTTGGATTCCCCATATTACGGAGTCCAAGACAAGCACTGATTCACTCCACAAATGGAGGAATGGTAGAGCAAAGCAGTACTCAACTGAAGAACAAGCATTTTTCTAACTATTCCGATGGGATTATTCTGAATGAACCCACTTAACAGGCTCCATTTGTGATTTTTGGCCATGTGGGCTTGCATGCTAATGAACTGTGTATGTTCTGTCTTAGCAAAAAATGCAATGGTGAAAACCCGTCATGGGATGAAAGACAAGTTCCTCTTGGTTTTATTAAGTTATCCCTAATATTATGTTTGACAAAACCAAAGACCAGATTTGACTTTCAAAGTGGCTTGTGTCCAAAGATCTAGAGTATCAAGCTTCAATAGAAAGTTGAATAAAATACATAAACCAAAATAAAGTTAAACTACAATGAGTGCTCCATCTACCTATCCATCCATCCACCTACATATCTACTTAATCACCCATCCGCGCACTCAGCCATCTATTCCTCTACCAATCTATCTACATATTCATTCATCCATCCATCCACCGACCCATCCAACAATCCATCCATCCATCCATACACCCATTTATCTACCTACCCATCTATCCATTGATCCATATACTTATCCATCAATCTACCCACCCATCCATCCATCCACATACCATTCGTCCTTTCAACTATGCGTCCATCTAACCATCTACCTACCCATACATTCATCCATCCATCCATCCGTCCATCCATCCATGCATCTACCTACCCATACATCTATCCATTCATTTATCCATCCAATCCATCCATCTAAACATCTACCACCCATCTATCCATAAACCCATCTACTTACTCATCCATCTACATATCTACCGTATCTACATACCCATCCATCTACCTACTAATCCATCCATCCAGTTAAGAGTTTGGGAAATAAATAAAACAAAAGAAAGAGTATGGAGGTCATGTTACAGCACATACCACCAGTTCAGTGAACATGGCATCCAGTTCCTCGGTGGGGGGCATAGGCAGGGTGGGCTCCATGGGTTGCAGTGTGAAGTTGCTGTCATGGCGGAGGCGGTAGGTGATCTCGGGATGGTCGCTCTTCTTTAGACAGCAACAGAGGAATGACAGGCCCCGCCCTCCTCGCTTACGTGGGGCCATCATGGCCAGAGGCCCAGCCAGTCAAATGTGTCTCACTTTAGCTATGACCCCCCTGTCCAAGAAAAAAACAAAAAAAGAAAATGAGGAGGGGTGACAAAGCTACAAATAAAAAAATAATAATTTCTGGGAATCATTTCTTAGTTCACTGAAAATATGGATGACTATGCTGAGAGTCTGAGACAGAGCTCAATGCAAAACAACATAACTGAAAATCATACCGCCAACCAGGGCTGTCACATGAGATGTGTGATGTATTCAAACTAAAATATTCATGTATTAAGTATACTCCTGACAAACAGGTTACATTGGACCTCCCACTGAAGACCAGTAGCAATATGCAAAGTATCTGTATTGGTGCATAAAATCTCGCTGAAACGAATCACAATAAAGGCTTTGGTTATACTTTGCACAGTCACACTAGAATTCATAAGTTTTGGGTTATTCATTTATTAAAGAAATGAATATTTTTATTCAGCAAGGATACATTACATTGATTAAAAACATTTACAAATCTTACCGACCCCAAATTACAACAAATGAGATGTTGGATTATCAAATTGTGTTTGTGCAGTAAGACTCATAATGCCAGCACTGTATGATCTTATTACCCATTACAACACTCCCATAAGCCTCATAAACTCCAGCAATACACAGCAGCATGATTCAATATGCAAAGCATTATGTAGACAGATAAAACAGCTATAAAAGCAATGAGCTATCATTTTACACTATTGGGTGCTTTTATATGTGAATCACTTTACAGAAAGAAAACTAATTATTTTGCCACTAAACCTTGTTTATAATGTGCATTACAAGTAATATCCTTCAATATTTTGTCACCTTGGAATTATAAGGTTCTATCTATCAGTTTTGACATTTTTGTCAAAACAGTTATTCACATATTATTTTGTGACAGCTTATTTACATAATGTGACTTTTTTTTAAGTTGTGTACATTGAGACTTTTTACTAAGACAACAAAAAGATTTAAAAGGATCTGTGTCTATCAGTGAAAGGCAACTGCATGAGAATATTGCATTTTAACAGTGGAAAAATCAGAGGTGCTCTTCAAAAGGATTAAGACAAAAAGCTAAAGCAACAAAATGAGTAAAATCGAATATTAGAACTTAATTAATTTGTTTTCTTTTTACTCTCAAGAGTAAAAAACAGTTGTTTTACAAAAACCAAGGTGTGGTGGTGTAATATGTGATCTAGAATGGGAACCAAAAGGTTGTTTTTGGGTTGAACACCAAAAAGGCCAATCCATGAGCTATAACCACTGTGAAAAAAGTTGTAAAACAGAAATGAAAAAAAAAAAGTGAGCTTCTGCACATCAAGACATATGGTATGTTCTTCACACAAAGGTATCGTATGGCATAATATGACTTGAAATATAGTGCATGAACCGCTTTTTATATCCTTTTTGAATTGAATGAACTTTTTTTTTAAATTGCTCCTTTCAAATGGATGTGGAACAAAATGGTGAGAAAATGCTGACTAATTTTGAATTTTTGGGGGGGATGAAAAACCCCAGGTTACTCCAAGGGACTGTCCTTGTAATTTGTGCCTCTTCATAATAAAAGTGGCTGCCAAATGACTACATTTCACTCAGCCACAACATCACTTTGTTTCATCTACATCCCCCAAAGTCTGTCCCAGATTTCATAAAACAAAAGACACTGTCTGTAGTCTTTATCCTCAGACCTCACACAATGAAACTGACCTCTCAAAAGACACAACCGTGTTCATCTTCCCTTTCACCATATTAGGAATAACAGAAAGTTACCATGCCCAACTTTATCTTCATCCAGTTCTGTTTTAATGAGTAGACCAGCCTGAGCTCTAGCGCTAAAGCCATCATGACCCCGAAGTCATCAAACATAAACTTCACTCTGAATTTACGATCAGACCCAGAAGCTCAAAGTGACCAGATGTTTCCCTTTAGAAGAACAGGGACATAAAGGCTTGAATGGCTTCAAGATTAGGCTGGAGTTTATAGTACGTGTGTTTGTGTAAAATCTGCTCAGTGTACTTGACCCTGTAGAGCAGGTTTATAGTGTCATTATACCCAAACACAAACACTTAAACGGCGATGCCCAACATGATCTGTCATGCGGTTTGACCTCTGAATGTTTGTCTGCAGCTCATCTGAGAAAAGAAAATGCTAAAAATGATTCCATCAATTTACAATTTGTAATTGTATACAACCATCAGAATCAAAATATAAAATTTAATTTTTGGAGGCTCTTGCCTCTTTTATTTAGAAGACAGTGGAGAATTCACAGGAAATGAGGAGGATAAAGAAGTGGCAGACAAAAAAAAAATGACCCGAGCTGGACTCAAAACTCAAATTTAAACAACTAATAAAACTAAATAATACAATTTATCTAACTGAATTTAACATAATAATACAAAAGAGTATTTAACTGAATGCTTATTTACAATACAAATGCAATGTCATGCAAGAACATCTGTGAACACTTTGATAATTTAAAAGAATTAGTTTTGCAGAATCTTCAGAATGATTTACTAAAAATCTAATGAATCTTCCAATGCTTTTGAAATCAAGAAAGGATATTCTATGTGAGTGTGTTTGATTATTGCCTCAGCTTATTAGGTTATAAGAATGCATGCACAGTATGCATTTAAAAAAAAGAGTTTTGTTAGCATTTTGTTACGCTATAACATGTCTGATTGAAGAAAACAGCTTGATGCCAGAAAAGCTACAGTAGAAAACATCTGAGAGACGGTCATGTTACTGAAAAATGTAGGTCAATTAGTATGAATGCAACTAATCTTCAACTCTTTTCTCAAAGAAAGTTAACTCATTCAGCTCAAACAAGATTCAAAGGTAAAACTATGGCTCACAGATGAGAAAGAGAAAAAAAGGAAGGAAGAAAGGAAGACAAAGAGGAAGCAAAATTGCAGAGGAAACTCTTCGGTGTTTTTTTTTCGGAGAGCTGAAACGAATGATTCACTCGGCCATGTCAACAATCTGGATGTTCACACTAAAACGGCCTTGTGTGATTTTTTTTCCCCAACGTGGAAGAGAATCTCGATTCTCACACTGTAACTATTTAGCAGCGATAACCCAGCAGACTAGACACAGCTGTTCTCCTGAGCAAGGCTGGGAATTTTCTCACCACTGGGTTTATTTCTTCGTGTGAAAATAGCTCCGGCCCGGCCAGTTGGTCCAACGATCAGTGGGCAAAGACCACACACTTCACACCATAAGAATGGATACCATATCTATTATTAGATCAACTTGAGCAAAAGACTACATGAACTGCGTCTTGGTTTGTGGTATTTTAAGTTGCTTTTTTTCAAATTTGTACATGACAACAAGCTTTGAGAACAAAGATGTTCTCAGAAACATTTATTCATTTAGCAGATTAGTGAATCTCACGAAAACATGCCCAAATCACATTTCACATCATTTTTTTATTTTCAAGTGAATAATGCAAGCACACAGTATGCCAGTAAATCATTAACAAGTGGAAGATTTTAATCGTGCCGCTGCTAGATGTCCTTGTTCCCAAGGTCTGATCCAAACTATGACCCACAAACACTGCTAAGCAAATATTCTGTTCCTTTATTCAAACCACATACAATGCAGAGCTTATCTGACAAATGTCAAAATAAAAACTGGTAATCCAAATCCACATCTTGTCCAAACGAAGAACTGGGATCGCCAGGGAGCTAAATAATCTTTACATCCTGGGAAACCCCTGAAATGTAAACATCTTTATAAAAAAAAAAATTAAAAAAAAAAAAAAAAAACACTAGCGCAGGAAAGTTATTTTTAAAAAACAAAAAAACGTGAGAAAGTATAAAAACCGAATAAGCGAAAAGACAGAATAAATTGTACCAAACAATGATATGACGCGATCAAATAGTAACCAGTGCAGAGTGAGAGGCGCGCACTCTTTATTATGCAGCACACACGTCAGCAGTGTGGAAGCATTTAAACTGTCGGAGAAAGACGCAAAAATCATTACAAGCACCGACAGCGAGAGACTGTTTAGGACTGCATCGCATGTTTTCAATGAGAAGAGGAAGGGGTGATTGTTGCTGGTTACTGTATACTGTATAATGAAATTGCAAAATGGCCTTAAACAATTAGTAAATAAACTACAGAACACTGTTTTCTAATACACGCGCGCATTGCATGTATTCTGACATGGAAAATCTGGGCTGATACAGTCGTCAGTTGCTCAGTCACATTTTATGAATTTTTACAAGGCATGTGACAATGCGATACAAAGAAGTCTCTTCTCAGCAAGGCTGCTTTTAATTGTACAGTAAAAAGAAATTATTACTAATTATCCTCAATCTACATACAGATCGTAAGAGAAATCAACTAAAAGAAGCAACGGACATTTCTGCCAGTTTCGCACAAATATTGGTAACTGTGGTCATCAACACTTCCACCACTTCAGATCACTTTGTCTTCAGTTGTCGTCAGCATGTCCGTCTAGGTTGTTGTTGCTTTTCACTGCAAACAGCTGAATGTGGAGGAGACCGAATCACTATTTGTTTATCGGTCAATCGCCAACGGAATGAACAAATCTTACATGCATAGCTTGCAAGCAAATCATTCTAAAGATTATTAAAATATGTGCATTCATCAAATACAGTACATGGAAAGACAAGTGAGGCCGTTTCAGCTTTGTGTTCCTTTAAAGAGTTGTAATCGCTTTCATTAACAGTCTCACCACATTTAGGCACCATCTAAAGAGTTTGAGCGGTAGGATTTGATAAAGAGAGGGTTCTCAAAGAGGCACACAACTTAAGTGATGTCATGGGAAATGTACTGCTCATGGGTAATTTGCATTTTCTTTCTTTGCTGGTGCAACGGTTATAATAGGAACAAGATATTTGAATATGTAGTCTTAAAGGTCCCATATTGTCAAAACTGAAATTTCCTGGCTTTTTCACGATTACTGAGGTCTAGGGGCTATTTAACTACCATATACGTTTCAAAACAGTCAGTCCACAGTAAAATGCACACAGCCTGCTTAAAGTTCTAGCTATTTCTCACAAACCATTGTGA